ACGCTCTTCACTTAGGGCAGTTACATTTACTGTGTTCACGTTCAAAGGACAGGAAACCAGGGAGAAGACGACCTGGAGTTTTGTGCACGATTGGGCTTGATTTTGGGAATTTTAAATGAATTTCTTTTTGTATCAATTCTCTTTTTAGTTTTCCTGATAATCCCTAGGTGATGTTTTGTTTCAATAGTGTTTATTTCCTATAATGTCAAAAATGTACCATATAGAAATTATTTCTGAACTATTGAAAATGGTGGCTATTGGAATTTTAAGACATCTCTCTTAATTAACAAAAATTTTATGAATGTGTTTGTGTGATTATATACTAATGAGAAAAACATTTATGAACATGAGAATGTATTTACAAAAAGAAAATGCTGGTAGATGTAAAACATAATTAAGTTTAACTAACGCTGCATTGTGATTGTTTTAAAAATTTAACAAACTAGAGAAATATAAAAATACTAAAAATTGTACACTATTATTTCTATCGAATATAAAGCATTTGTGTTGCAAGTGCTTTATAATCCAAGTCCTGTATAATATCTCAAGGTTCAGATGTAGCCTGTGAGTCTGGTTATGTGTGCGCTGGATAGCACAGTGGTGTAGACCAGGACTCTCACTGTTACTGTTACTGTGTCAGTAATACTAGAGCGATGTTTGCAGGTTACCGAGCCCACCGACATAGGCCACAGTTCACCACTCATTGAGAATCTAGTAAGAAAATTCATGTCGAGGGACCAGCAGGTGGTGTAGTGGTTAAGGCACTAGACTCCTGCTTGGCAGACCACAGTTTGAGTCCTTGACCTGGTGACTTGAAACTCACGCTGGGTGTGTGTGCATGCGTGTCCATGGAGGAGAAGGGACTGTGGTGTGGCCATCCCCCTGGGGGATGATTTCTTGCTTTCTGTCTCTCTGGTGAGCACCACACTTAACTTATAGCAAAAATCTCTCTCTAAAAAAAAAAAAGCAGAAAGAAAGAAAATTCATGTTGAACCATGAATTTGTAAACTATAAGGTACTTTGAAAATGTAAGGGATTAATTTTGATTAGTACAGGAGAATGCTAGTTAATTTTTCCATTTCAATTTTCTATTCAGTGTAGTTTAATTACCATATTGTGAATTGTATCTTTTAAAAAAATATTTATTTAATTTTATTCATTATCATTATTATATTCTAACTTGCCATAGGGCATGCGTGCTCATTAGAGGAAGAGACTGAGAAAGGAAAAGTGAGAAAGCAAGCCGCCAAACCCAGGACTCGAACCGCAGTGGGCCATGTGGGAATCCAGCACCTTAAGCACTGCGCCACCTGCTGGCGCGTGAATTAAAGCAGGGTTCTCAGGGACCAGCAGATGATGTGTTGGGTATGGCGCTGGATGCCTACATGGCAGACCACGGTTTGAGTCTCGGACCTGGTGGCTTGGGTGTGTGAGCCCAAAATCCCAGGGGGAGAATGGAGGAGGGAGGTTGTGGCATGGGGTGGCGATTTCTCACTTTCCCTCTGACTGTCTCTTTCTGCTGAGTACAGAAAACCTATAGCAAAAACCTCAAATAACAAAACAAACAAGATCCTCAAGTGATTACTTTGTAATATTTTTCTGCTTTTCAAAGTTTTGCCTGTTTTATAAGCTAATTTAGAATATGTAAATGTAAAATTAATACATGCATTTAAAATTAAACAATGTCTTCTTATTCAATATTAGGTAGTAATGAAGTATTTCAGGATTATTTTGCAACATCTATATTTTAATTAGCATGCCTCTCTCTTTTCTATTTGCAGATTTTCTATTGAGAAAGGAATTGCTGGTCAGGTAGCAAGAACAGGTGAAGTGCTGAACATCCCAGATGCCTACGCAGACCCACGCTTCAACAGGTGAGAGGAGCTGCCTCATCGGCTCCTCCCATGACACCTCCTCGGCTGAAATCGCCCCAGTGTTCCGTGTCCAAACTCAGTGTTTTTTGTTTTTCTTTTTTTTTTTTCTTGTTTAGTTTCCCTCCTCGTATTATCAGCAGAGAGTATATTCAAATGTTTATAAGATGATAGATTCTAAGCCATTGACATTCATGTTTTTGTAAAAACCCATAGGCTGGTGTTTCAATGTACAGAGAGCTGAGGTTTATCTTCATTGTAGTGCTGGCCTCTGGTCTTGAGCATAGTCTCTCTCAGGTCCCCTGTGGAGAGGGTGCTCATGGAACTACAATCACGTGCTGGGAGACCCACAGGTCTGCTTTCCAGTCATGGTTCTGTCCTTCATTAGCTCTACAGTGACATGGAATTTGATGCTACTTAGTCTCTGAGCCTTAGTTTTCATCTTTAAAATGGGTACCAAAATGTCTTTTTGATAGTGTTTTTCAAAGACTTTAGTGTTTATAAAATGTCTGAAAATATTACCTGACAAAAGTAAAAAGTCAATAAATCAAAGCTTTTGTTAGACAGCAGCATGTAGTGTAGTGGCTAAGGCACTGGGTTCCCATTTGGTTGACCACGGTTCAAATCCCAGACCCGGCAGCTCGAAGCTCACACCGGGAACATGTGTGTCTGTGCTCAAAATCGCAAGAGGAAAATGGAAGAGGAAGGATTGAGGTGTGACCATCACCCCTGGGAGGTGATTTCTCACATTCTGTCTCTCTGTCTCTCTTTGTCTCCAGCAAGCACATGTGCCCTATAGCAAAATTCTCTCTCTCTCTCTCTCAAAAAAAAGTGTTTCTATTAGATAGTATTAAAGTTGAATATTAGAATGGCTTATAGATCTTTTTGTGTTGTTTTGACTTGCTTTGGAGAACTAGAATTGCATTATCTATTTCTAATAAATCTCTAGAAATTAAAATTCTCAAAATTGGAGCCCTGCCTGTTGGGGAGCACCCGCACAGATATTCGACAAGAGTGCTCAGTTCATTCAACACTGGGTCTACTTTAGGGGACAAGTAACATGAGAATGAAGTTTTCTCATGTATGTGTTGATTCATATCTAAATATAGGGACCAGCAGGTGGCATGGTGGTTAAGGCGCTAGACTCCCACATAGCCAACCAGAGTTTGACTCCCAGACCTGGTGGCTTGATTTCTCACTTTCCCTCATTCTCTCTCTGTTCTCTAGCAAACTGAAAAATAATAATTAAAATACTAAGAACTAGAGTTAAATAAGTAATTCTAAAAAAAGTAGATACATCCATATACTAGTTATGTATATATGTATATATATATATATAAATCAAGAGATTACTGTGAATCTTTTTTTAAAAATCTTGTTTCAGTGTGTAAATATTGAAAATATGAATATATCCTTATATAAAATCTTCCCATAAAAGTTTATGGGTCAGCGGCCCAGGCCCAGTGGTGCCTGCTGCCAAGACGCCTGCTGCTAAGACACCTGCTCCTCCGTAGGCAGAGGCCATGTGGGAGGCCCAGGTCTGGTTTCAGGTTCAGTGTAATAGCCAGGTATTGCCCTGGAGCCTTTGCCTGTCATCCCAACTGGTACATCCATTCCATCGAGAATTCTACCCAGCAAGTAAAAGGGACTGAACTTCTTTTTTTTTTTTCCTTTATTATTATTAGTATTTATACATTCAGTAGTTATATATCATTTAGATTGTAAAGAGACTTCACCCAGCATGGTATACACCTCAGTCCATCCCAGTTGAGAATACTGTACATGTCTTCATCAACAGATAATAAATCATGTCTGTGTCCCACAAATGTCTTACCTCTCTATTTTCCCCCCAATTTTCCATTCCTTCACTCTTCCCCTCCCACACTGTCCTTCCACTTTGTCTCTAGTGTCCATGACAACTTTTAATGCTCTTATGTTCTCCAGATTTTCAGTCTCTACCGTAGAGGGCGGACAGTCGGTATATGTTAAGTGGAGACATACAATGTCTCTTTCATAGCCTGACTGGCTTCACTCAGCAACAAATCTCCCATATTCGTCCACTTCCTATCCAATTCCAGGGCCTTGTTGCTTCTTATGGCTGAATAGTATTCCAGGGAATACACGTGCCACACTTTTTCCGTCCATTCATCCACGTGTGGACATTTGGGTTGGTTCCATGTCTTAGTGATTGTGCAAGCACTTTTCTGACTGAGCGCTCTCCTGTCCTTTGGGTAGATACCCAGGAGCAGTATTGCTGGGTCATATGGTATGTAGGGACTGAACTTCTAACACATGCAACAGAGTGGGTGGCTCCGGAGCACATTAAGCAGGAGGAGCCAGGCCCCGAACTGCCGTGTGACTTGGTGTGCTTAGCTATGTGGTTGTCTCCATGGGACTCAGCTCTGTGTTCAGAAAGCATTTCCTGACATCAGCAAACCTTTTCTGCTAGGAACCAGGCCATACATGTTTGGCTTCACAGGTCACAAGGTCTTCCTCAGAAGCCCTCGGTTCTGCCTTGTGGGACGGGAGCTGTGGCCGTCCATTAGTGAACGGTGTGGTGTGTTCCGCTGGGCCTTATTTACAAAACAGGACTGGCCAGTTGGCCCGTGGGGCATAGTTTGCTGACCTTGGTTCTAAATTTTCAAAATGGCAGTTCCCCGTTAAGTTGGGTTGGCAAGTTGCCTGTCTCAGAAATATGACCCAGTTTAGAAGAACATGTTGAGAACTCCTTAGAAATGAGTACAGCAGTCTGAGATCTGAAGTGAGAATCTTGGGCAGTCAGCCTTCCTGCCGCGGCTGACCTGCCTGCCTCTGTTCTTCTGTAGAAACTTTACAGCACCAGATAATTTCCAAAAATTTGTCGAAAAGGAAATTAAAGTATGAGTCTATTTTGTTGCAAAAGTTTTTGTTCCTTTGAAGTTGATCGTCTGGATGAGAGATGCCACGTCAGTGGAGTTCCCAAGGGTGTGCTTTTTAGGAGTCGCGTCATATGCTTACTTAGTAGTGCTGGGTACTTAAAAATCCTAAGCTGAAAATTTCCTAGAGACTGTGCTAGAAAACACTCCTGAACGCAAAATAATAAACTGGTCAGAATATTTTGAAAGTGTTAAGTGGGACACTTGCAAACATCACCTTCTCCTGGAATCTGGGAGCTAACGGCGCCGTTCTGGTGTGTGCGGTCGAGGCTTACACCCACAGAGCTGAGCCGAGGCTCGTGGCTCAGTGCATCACTTACGTTCTTCTTTCTGGGTTGCTGTCTGCTGACGGATTTGCGCTGCCCATTCCCACAGGGAAGTGGACCTGTACACGGGCTACACCACCCGGAACATCCTGTGCATGCCCATCGTGAGCCGAGGAAGTGTGATAGGCGTGGTGCAGATGGTGAACAAGATCAGCGGCAGTGCCTTCTCTAAAACGGATGAGAACAACTTCAAGATGTTTGCTGTCTTCTGCGCCCTGGCCTTACACTGTGCTAATGTCAGTGCTATTTCTAAAATACCTCTTTTTACAACTCAATATTAATTTACGACCTTTTAAACAAGCACTTTAAGGTTGCTTTTTCCCCCCCCCTCTATTTATATTTATTTTAGAAACTAATAACATGTATCCTGGTTGTACATATTTTAGGAAATGTCTTAATATGCCATGGAATTTAAAAAAGAAAAAAGTCTCCTAACATTTTGCATTTCTTTCAAGGAGCGGATCTGTTAAACAGAAAAACGAAGTTAATGTAAAGGGAAAATGTTTGAATGTCAGGCTTACATCGCATGATACTTGCTGAAAGGGATACAGAAAATATTATCTAAACCCTTATGTTTTTAAATATGTGCTGTGTTTGAGATTCTTACACAAAACCATAGCAATAACTCGTAATTTTACACCAACTGGGAAAGTTTTGTTTGTGAGGAAAAGCGACAGCTTAGAACACGTGTCAGGCGGTTATGGGTGTTAGCCCTCTGACCCTTGCAGTGGTCCTGCCTTGTTCCTGAAGGATACAGTGAGGGTCATTTATTGATATATTCTGAGGTCTCGCCTTAAAATGGTGGGACTGGGACCAGCAGGCGGTGTAATGGTTACGTTGCTGGACTCCCACATAATTGACCACGCGTTGAGTCTCAGACCTGGTGCTTGAAACTTACACCCGGCACATCTGTGTGCATGCCCAAGATCCCAGGAGGAGAATGGAGGAGACGGGATTGCAGCATGGCCATTCCCCTGGGAAGTGATTTCTTGTTTTCTGTCTCTTTGTTTCTCTCTGTCTCTCCAGTGAGCACACACACCCTATGGCAAAAAAAGTATCTTTAAAAAAAAATGACTTTATGAACTTTCTTTAGCATTATTATATTTTAAATAAGTTGAACATTTAGTATTCTATAAATTCTAGTAATGCTTCAGTGGCATAGATGGACTTCTGAAGTTAGGGAATCTTTTAATAACCTTTTTTATAAAGCTACACCAACATACATGGAATTTATCACCTTAATAATTTAGGGAGATTGCTTTTTGGGAAATAGGATTGAGTTTTATAGGAGCAACCTGTAACTAATGGAAACAGCTGAGAAATAACTAGGAACAAAATTGCAAGCCCCAGCATTCTGGTGACCAATGGTAAGCGCGTTTAATTCCATCAGTGTTGCTTGTAGGAGCCCCATCTGCTCCCGCATCGTCACGGCGCCTGGTGAATTGAGCCTTTGGGAGGTAGACAGCCCCGCCGTAAGAACATGTCTCCCCAGACATTCGCAGTTACCCCCGTCTCTACCCTAGGTGAAGGCCGTGAGAGCAGGCGTCTGTCCTGCTTGGTTCAGGAGTTGCACGGAATGTAATTTCTAGTATTTCTGAATATTGACTGCCTCATCATTTTTAATTGGATCCAAAGGAATGTACGGCCGCCAGCCCATGGTGGGCATTACAGAGCCCTAAGAAACAGTGCAGGTCTATACCAATGTTAATTTCTTCATAAAGAAATAATATTAATGACCATCCCTTGAATGCTTTATTAACTGCCAAACACTGTATTTGGTGCTTCAAAAATTCTCGTGTATTAATTTCTTTATTTCTTAGTGGAAAATAAAATAATGGTCTATTTTTCAGAAAATACAGACTGAAGGGGCCAGCAGTTAGTGTAATGGCTATGTCGCTGGACTCCCACGTAGTGGACCGTGGTTCAAGTCCTGGACCCAGCGGCTTAAACTCACGCCGGGCGCGTGTGCATGTGTACCCAAGATCCCAAGAGGAGAATGGAGAAGGGATTGTGGCGTGGCCATCCCCCCTGGGGGGTGATTTCTCGCTTTCTGTCCCTCTGTCTTTCTCTGTCTTTCTGGCGAGCACATGCGCCCTATAGTGAAAACCTCTCCAAAAAATAAAAAGAAAAAGAAAATACAAACTGAAGAATAAGGAGTTATAATTCTGTAGTCGGCTGAGGTCTCACTTATGAATGTTCTTTAACATTATTAGGTTTTAAATAAGGTGAATATTTAGTACCCTAATAACTCTAGTAATTAATATAATATTTAAATATATAATAATGAAATTTTATGATTGGAAAATTTAACTTTGTTCTTTTTTTCTCCCAGAACATATATTTCTGTTATTCCATGAAAGTTGTTTCATTTTATCCTTTATTTCACTAATTATTCTAGGACAGTATTCAAAAACAAACAAGCATTATAAGTATTAAAAATTAATTTTTGATTGTGGTGGCATCATATATTATTAATAGTATATAGAGGCTCAAAATAATATAACTATAATATGTAGATACAAAATAAAAGATAACGTTTTGATAATTATCAAAAGTAAAAATATTGAAATTGAGTTTCTTAATGAGATGGCTGTGACATAAAACAGCAATAATTAACCTGCCTCCTTATCCATGTTCCTTACTATAATTAACCTGCCTCCTTATCCATGTTACTATAATTAACCTACCTCCTTATCCATGTTACTTACTATAATTAACCTACCTCCTTATCCATGTTACTTACTATAATTAACCTGCCTCCTTATCCATGTTACTTACTATAATTAACCTACCTCCTTATCCATGTTACTTACTATAATTAACCT